GCTGTTGGGAAACCAATACAAACTGCAGCAAGTCTCAGTAGACGGAATGCAGCAATTGCGCGCCTGGTTGCTTGTTTGTCCATATCCTTTAGACACTAAAAAAAAATGGCTTAAGAAGAATTAATATAATGAACTTAAAATAAAAACCAAATAGTATAGAAATAGAAAAAGTTTCTGAACTAACAAATCTATGGTATATAGCCTTTCTTTTCAGAAAATTCATATTCTTGAGTATTTTCTTCGAGTGCATTCAACCCATTTTCAAGCCCATCTTACAACCCAATTTCTTTCGGCCAAGAGAGAAAGCTTGGCAAATATTTTCTTAATTAGTTGCTGCCAAGGCTCTTCTGGCTTCCTCGGGACAAAAAACAGAAAGTATAAAAAATAAGCGGAAAACAAATGAAATGCGGCTGGGGGATGGGCGGAAAATGGGCTGGGACTGTTGACTCGGTCAGTTGTCAAGTGTGAAAAATTGCAGCTCAAATTGCAGTACAAAATGGCTTGAAGCGCTCGTTAAAAGTCACGCAGCACGCAGAGGAAACGCTTGTCGGGGTAAAATGTTTCAAAATTTATGCGTATGAAAACAGAAATTATATTAATTACAACTGCCACCAAGGGAGAGGGTGCAGCAGGAGCAGCAACAGCAGCTGCAGCAGGTTGGGGTAAATAACGACAACATAGCCACCAAGGGGTTAAGCAACAGCTCTCTCTCTTGACTTTCGTCCCCAGCTCACATAAAAATTGCATAAAATTTGCATGTCAAAAGTGCGTCTCGAGTTGGTTGCAAGCCATCCCCCCACTTGGCCCCCCCCCCCCCAGTGCCATGTTGCATGGCCATCATCAGCGTTGTTTAGCAAGCATTTGGGGAATTTACTTTCGCTGCTCTGGAAATTTTGCAATCAACATAACAATTATGCGAAAATGCAGTGTAGGGACCCCATCAACTTGTTTATTTCGGTTTATATACATAATACTCGCCCAAAACCGCACATCTCCCTCTTCACCATATGGTGTTTTATAGTGCATTCAAATTTAAAGATCAAGCAGCTAATTAGGGGGGGCCACACATGTTCTCGGTTGGCGGAATTTAAGGAGGGACTAAGTCCCCCCAATCATTGTCTGGCCCACAATCAGATAAGCGGAGCGGAGCACTGCGATTGTCAAAGCGTATTTAATGAGCAGCCTCCCCGATACCGAAACCACCGAATCACGGGCCTCCTTCTAGTGTTCCTGCGAAAATCACAAAATCAGTTGGCAAGAAATCACAGCAGACTGTGGGTGGCCGGGGGGGGATAGAGGAGGTGGGGCCTAAAACCGCGGCGACAACATCGAAACAACGACAGCGAGACAACGACAACGACATCACGACATCATGCTGGCAGTGTTTGCTGGGGATTGTGTTTTTTTGGGGTGACATTTTTGTGCGACTGTGTATTTTAGTGCACTGACAAAAATAATAATAACTTAAGAAATAAAAGCATAACTAAATTATTTGTTTAAGGTTTAAGGTCAACATTGATAAGCCTGTAAGAAACGTTTCAAACAAGTATAATAAGAATATAATCCTTAATAGAAATAAACAATATATATTTCTTTTCTATAAGTCTTCAAGAAATATTTCTGCTAATATTTATGATATTTTTCCGTCTGTACTATTGCTGGAATGGTTACAAGCAGCCGGAGATAGCAGCTTGTGGCATATACCAGGATGCGTGTCTGTCTCCGTCCTCCCCGATTGCATCTTTCGACACGGGGCGGGGGCGACTGGTATTTGCCTGTGGGGGCAAGCTGGAATTGTCTAGGCTGAGGTTTCGGCTTTTGTTGTTGCCAAGGTAGGATAATGACATCAATATGCTTGACAACACATCACGCAAGCCAGTGACCTTGAACTGAACCTTTCTCCTAGGTGACTCCTGGCAGAAGAAGAGCGATTCTAAGACAAAGAGGATGCCTAAGGTATTCTCCAGATAAAAGGGCTTCATTAGCACTCCCACTCGCTAGTAAATGGACTGGTTTCTCCTCTAAAGAGACCATCTTGCGACCAACCTGGGCATAAAATCTCCCGAGAATTTAACCACTTTTCGTGGACTTTGGGCGGAGGCGCAACCACAGGACTTTTTCATTAGTGCAAGTGCCGCACAGCTGCATGCCACCTATACACGTGCACACCCTCACATGGGTGTGCCAACTCCCAACACGTTCCAGGCATTGCGAAACGTGCCAAAAAGCATTGCATAAGCGCTGGCGGACAGTGAAATCTGGCAAAAGGAAAACAAAAAGATGGCCAAAAAGGTGGAAGGAAAACAAAAACTGAAACGTAAATACGGGCAAGGCGAGGACAATATTTTTGCTTCTGCTCCGATTGTTTCCTACTCCTGATTCTCCATTTTCTCACTTTTTTCCACCCAGTTCCAAGGCAAACAAATCTCAGCCGCACACACTCGTATGTGCACTGCGAAAAAAAAGAAAGTGTATAAATCAAGTGGGAGGATGCTAAATGAAAGAAAAGGCATTAAAATCAATAGCTGCAGGCTATCAGAGCTAAGAATAAATATGGGAAAGTAAACTGACGTTTTTATTATTATGGTCATAGAAGCGAAAGAGTTTTTATTAATGTTTATGAAGCAGTATTTATTTGTATTTAATTTTGTATTTAAACACACATGACTATCCTTTTCAAAGCCTGGAAAACTTTAAGCTTAATCACAAAGCTGAAGTTTATTATTAAGATTTAAATAAAATCTATGAAACTTTCTAAATCCAATCCTGGAGACATTACCATTTCTCTCTCAGTGCCACCATTGGCATTGCATTTAGCAATCAGCTCACGACTTGGCAGCCAGTCCGAGTTGCAGCTCCTCCGTCGCCTGTCTTCTGGCTTCCCTGAGATGGCACTGTCGTTGCGCATACGCCACGTTGCACCCGTTGCCCATACGCCACGTTGCCACGTCGCCGTTGGAGTGGAGCGTGTGTTAATAATGCGTGACATAAAGTGAAGCTCCCGACAAGTCCCGTCGATGCGACAAACGAATTGAGTTGACTTGAACTCAGTCGAGTTGAGTGGGGCATTTTAAGTGACAGTTTGCAGTCTGTCTGCTTTACGGGCGAGCATTGTGAGTCCTGCAGAGACTTTGTCTGCCATTGGGTGGCTGCTAGTGAATGACAAAGTCATTGTTTTACTCGCAAGGACTCAGAACTTGGAGCTCGAAGTACTCCAAATCAAGTGCGAGTCAAATCACATCCTTAGCATTTAAATTTTTAAGCTAAAATATGCAAACAAGTGCTGCCAAACTGCCTGAAGGCAGTGATTCGCCCCCCGGAAAGCCCTAACGTGTGTGGGAATGTGTGAGAATTTCAATTTCCTGCTCACACCCGGGCCAATCAAACGAAACCCCAATCGAAGGACGGGTGAATAAATTTCACCCGAGGAACGAGGAAATTAAACCAAATTGAAATTGTTTCGCTCGCACAAAGTTTTCTTTAAGTTCTTTTAGCCGCTATTGCTTTTTGGGCTTTTAGTTTAGACTTTGGAGTGACTTAAGCCCGGGAAAGTTTTAATTTGCAATTGACATTTTGCAAGAGCATCCCTAATCCCGGCTCACACAAAAAGCTTGATAAGCTCGAAGGGGTAAAAATAATTACAAACTGCAATTATTAGCCTCGGATGCAGTTAGCCAAGGAGGCCAAGGAGCCCAGGAAGGTTGGGACTGGGGGACTGGGACAGGACAAATCCAATTAAGTGAAAAGCAAGTGTAAGCCGATGCCTTACCTGACAAACTGCATCGCCCTTTCGTTTTTATTTCTTCCAGCAGTTTACTGCTGACCTTAGCCTGTATTCCACTGCCTCTTCCTTCGGCTTATCTCATGTATCCTTTATCCTGGCTCTCCACAGAGCGTAAAATGAAATTGCCCAGCAACAGGAACACAAGAAACTACAATGACAATAGTAATAATAAATAATAATGGTTAAATGTGTTTACAAAAAGACTGAAATCTTTGCTATCTGGACCAAAGGCTGCCGCCTGCTCTTTCCTCTTGGACTTGGACTTGGCTCACTTTTGTCTGCTGAACTGTCATTGCGTGCTGTGGGGGCTCGGAAAATGGTTAAAACGAAAGAGAATGCGGTATTATGTGGCAAGAGTGGCACTTCACCAGTTGATGGAAGTCTGGCTTAATTTTTCATGCGAAAATTCTGCATAATTCTTATGGGAGTGTCGTATGATTTTTATTATTTTGGCCTGTTTCATGTTTAAATATCCTTTATGACAAACTTTTGGCTTCTGAGTTTTTGACAAAAATATCCTTTAGTTGTCATAAAGCCGCCCTCGCAATATTTTCCTCCGTAATGAAAGTGAAAAACTGTTGCAGTGGCAACAACAAATATTTTTTCAGCCGAGGAGAAAACTATTTCAATTGAGGTAGAAAATGAACGACAAGGACATGGCGGCATTTTTCTCTGGATTTTTTTCCCCTGGCTGGCTGCTTTTCTCGTATTTTCTTTTTCCATCTCTGTTTTCCTTGGTCTTGCCATGAATGCGATGCCCACACCACTCTATTTCTTTGTGGCACTGTGTTTGCAGTTTAAATTGCACTCTGAAAGGAATTTTTTCACATTTAAGCATTCGTTTTCATTTGGCTTCTTTTCTTGTGTTTTTGTTGGCTTTCTGTTTTCTTTTTTTGGCCAAGTGGATAATATGTCAAGTGGCATAAGTCGGTGGACGAATGCCACTGCACCTTTCCATTGATAGTATCGAAGCAGGTGTCATCCCATTTATCCAGACAGCCCCTCCTCCGTCTCTTGACGTCTTGGCCTTTTACGGACAGCTGTTTGTGCTGGACGGGCTTAGACCCGGCTCGAGTCAAGTTACAGTGGCAGTGCCAGAAAAAAACCAGCTCGGGCAAGTGGCTCGATTGAAAAACAGTTGTGCCAGAACTCGCTCGATTTCGGGCCTGTATAAAAGAGAAAGTCGACTGGGAAATGGACAGTCTAAGAACTTAGTAGCATCATGTCAACAGCTTGTTTTTTGGCATTCATCCTGTGGGGTGTCCTGCAGGTGGCTCACTGTCAGAATGATACGCTAACTCCTGCTGCAAACGGGCTTAAGGAAGGTGCCCCGAACGCAACTATTACTCCCACCGACTACTGCAAGACGGACCTGTGTCCTCTCATGAAGAAGCACATAGCCTGCAAAAACAAAGGAGTGAGTTGGCTTAGATTTTGGATCCTGGCTTAATGAGGTTTATCCCATTCCCTGTAGGTTCTAAGCGCCATGTGTGCGCCTGGGGCGAAATTGGCCAATCTGACAGATCTTCACGATCTTATTTTGGATGAGCACAATGCTTTTCGCAATCTACTGGCCGGGGGCAAGATTGAGAACTTGCCACAGCCCGACCGCATGGCCACCTTGCAGTGGCACTCTGAACTCGAGGAACTCGCTGCCTTGAATGTGAAGCAGTGTCTTCTGAAGCCCGATCCATGCCACAACACTCTGGAATTCCGTAACTCTGGCCAAAACTTGGCTCTGATCAGGCTGAAGAAGCTGCCGGGCATGGAGAACCACACAGACGAGTGTCTCGTCAAGGAAGCCATGCGTATCTGGTGGGACCAGATTCTCAATGCCACAACGAAGAATGTTCAGCACTTTCCACAAGGAAAACTAGGAGAGTGGGTAATCGATCTTTCTTAACTTGCAATTATTTCAATTTTAAACTCGTAGTCCAATCCGGTACTTTGCCAACATGGCCCGGGACAACAATACTTTTGTGGGCTGTGCCGCCGTGAGGTATGAGAAGCCCATCGGAGATCCCTACTACCTCATGGCCTGCAATTATGCTGGAAATGCCATACCCGGATATCCCATTTATCGGGAGAAGGCTATGGGCTGCCAGAATGGCACGGATCTCAAGTACCCATCCCTCTGCAAGGTGGGTGAGGTTTACGAGGAGCCTCCTGTCGAGGCCACCACCGTAAAAACAAACTTCTGGCGGGTGTAGGAAGACTAAAAATACAAACCGTCGAAGGGTTAGAGGGAGGATGTGCTCTCACAGTCTATTTAACATGTTGATTTGTGTCACAGTGCGTGGCGGTCATATATCATCTCACAGCAGCCACATTAGCACAGACACCTGCAAACAGTGATGTCTATTTTGGAGATGGAAAAAGGCCAGATTTAAATAAATATCCCACTTGCTTGGCTAAAAGGAAATAGTCTTTTTTGAATAATATTATTTGGTACTATATAGCGTACCTAGCTGGCCATTAAATAGGCTAAAAAATAGCCAGCACTGGCACTCCCCCTCATCAAACTCATCATCATCTACATCAGCAGCTAAAATATGATACGCGTTGTTTGGGCCACGAGAAGAAAGCCAACGAGACGACGACAAGTTGGCATCTAATTTTAACGTCAATATACAAAAATGTAAAAACGTGTCTTCATCAGCTCGTAATATAGAAGGTAGTCCCCCTGGCACTGCCATTTTTTGAGGCCCCCTCCCAGCGTCTAAGTGCCTATTAATAATGCCGCTCTGACTGGCTGAAAAGAAAATGTTTTCTGTTTTCCTTGGCTTTGCTTTATTTTTAGTGTCCATCTACACTGATGCCCCTGATTGTGGCAGCCTGCCTACGTTTAATATGCCGTTACTTTGTCAAATCTGAGCCTCATTAAAGTCCGCAGAGAAAAATAGGCAACATTTTTGTTCATTTTTTTTCGTCGTCGCGTAATTAATTTCGCTCTAATGCCGCGGCGCATCCATTATGGCTTAATTAAAATTCAACTGGAATTAGTAGCCATCACCTCAAAAAGCATCCACCAAAAAATATACATCACTTTATAACTGTATACGTTTTTGCGGTAATTATGTTTGGTTCATTTTGTTGAATTATGAACATCATTGTGGGCCCTCATTAAATGCATGTAAACTAGCATCCATCGAATGGGCCCATAAAACCATAAACAGTGGCAAAAGTTTTGCAACTCAACATAATCAGGTCTATAGCTGAAAATGGGTATTTAAGAGAGATTGATAGACACACCATTTGTTTCCAAATAAACACATTTTAAAATACTATTTCGAATCAGAGGAGACACCACAAGCATTTGGGCAATCAGCGTTCTCGGCATTGGAAATGATTAAATGCTGTCGTTAAATGTTTATCAGGTCTTAAAGCCTTCCCCATAATATTATATGGAGTATAAAATATTTATATTAGTGCCTAATTTCGGAATCCCACACACACCGAACACATGCTCGTTTCGCGGTGGCACAAATTCCTATAGAAAATGGACTATGGAATATAGACTGTCCCTGAACGCTTCCAAAATTTGATTGTTGAAAATGATTTGGTGGCGCGATGGCAGACAATGAATGCGCCAATTTATGGCCTAAAGGAGGCTTGGACATTGCATAAATTGTGGCTGAATTTAAACAAGTTAATATGATATTAGTTGGAAGCGAGCATAAATTATGAAAGCGTGCCTATTGAGGCATCCACGACGCATAATATACACAAAGCCGTGCTGATTTAGTGTTGGCCATTTGACGGTTTAATGAGCACTCAGATGTGTCAACAAGCTAAATGAAAATTTATTTAATTATGATTCATAAGTCACAAAGCAGCTTACAGCTGGAAAAACATGCAAACTGCGAAATGCTGGCCAGCACGGCTTTCTTTGCCATTTTTATACGCTTTTCAGATTGTTCGCTTTGGCATGCAAAGTCTAGCCTTGGACTTTTGGTCTAAGTCTCGGACATGAAAAACATCTGAAAAGGCAATCAAAACTTGGGCCAAAAGAAGCACCAACACCCAACAAAAACAGGACAAATATAATACATATAAAAACAAAAATTGACAAAGCGAAAACTTTTGATTTATGCAATTTGCGTTAAAAATACAAATCCATTTGACGACATTGGCGTAGGGTGGAGGCAGTATGGAGGCGATGGTATGAGACAAATAAAAGTTGGCCAACAATTCCAATAAAATGGCAAAGCAGGCTTTGATTTATTTGTTCTTGACGGGTTCTGTGTGGCTTGGTTTGTTCGGGAATTCCCCGAACACAGCCGCATTAAAGTGGCCGCAAATGCCAAGCCTGGGATTTGAGGCCCTCCCAAATCGCGGCCCATGGTAGCCGGCAAATGTCATACATACATGGAGCATAATAAATGGGCGGGCAGAACTTTGGACAGAAATGGGAGGTCTGAGCCGGGGACTCCACTGTCTTGTGTCTTGTGTCAAGTCAAATGCAAATGACCGACAAATTTGCCAGGCCATATAGCGGCGATATATGCGAGGAGAAATAGAAACTGAATAGAACCGAGGGGACCATCCGGCGAACCGGATATATGGTTTGTTTATGTATAAGCATATATATATTATATGACCGCAGGGCATGGGCATTCTGGCCACAAATTTCCACACAATTTATGCTTGTCTGCGGACGGAAGAGGAGACATCGAGGATCCCATTGCCGGATCATTTATTTTATAGTCCGTCGCTTTAAGTTATTTTTCTTCATTATTTTTTATGTGGCCGGCAGGCTCAAGAACAACAAAATATGGCGAACCGACCGAACTGGGCGGGGGTCGAGACCGAAAACAATTGCCAAAGGCATTTGGCAATCAGCGCCAAATGTTTGTCCTGTTTGTACAAATAATTTATACGAAGAGCAAACACCACCCATCACACATACGCCACGTTGTCCGCATCGCACATGGCATGGCACATCACACATACGCCCCATGTTCATGGACTGCCATGTCTGCCTTAATGGTACAGTTCATTAGCGGTCCCAGTGCCCAGGAACTTGCCTTATTAATCCTCAAAGGATATAGACAAAGGGCAGTTGTCATTAGGGCTCTTCCCGGCATAAACACCAAATTAAGTTTTACGGTTTCATTTATTTTTGGCACTCTCTTCACAAAACCAAGCGTGGAGCGGCGCGTGTGTGTGGCTTTTGGGACTATTTGCTTTTATGGCTCCAACTGTGAGCCCTCTGCGGTCTGTGTAATTTTTCGGCCATGTACTATCGCCCTTTGATTGTTTGTAATGAGCTGGCTAGCTTATGGGTGGCGGGTCATCAAGGACATGAATAAAACATCGATCTCAATGGCCTGATAAGGGCTGCTCAAATGTCAAGTAGTCAAAATAGTGAACTCGCCTTGATTACAAGTGGGTGCCCAGTGACCAGTGAGTGGGTAATGCGATTTAAAGGATTTATCCATCATGCAAGGATAATACCCACAAGCATTGCTCTTTTTCTCTCTTATGTTTGATTCAACACTGAACGCAATCCTCTTATATCCTTGAATCAATTATTTATATTAATTTAACTGCCGGTTAATTTCTATATGGCAATGTGTATCGATTAATTCCTGATTTAATTGCATTGTTTGAAATGTGATTCCGGAGGATTTCATTTATTTTCTATTTTCATGGGTCACTTGATTTCAAATGGCAGTGCATTATCAATATTTTCTCTAGCCCGGGCTTTTCATTTCTAATACCTCGACGGCCACTCCACCTTTTGTTTTTTTTTGTTGGGCTGCTGCACTTGCAACGCTAACGGCAGCGGCCAATTGTGCGGCAAACATAATTCAATTAACGCCCGCCCAATGGATGCCAAAACACAAATAGATAAAGAAAGAAATATGGTCGGGGAAAGAGAGAGAACATGAGAGATAGATGGTCCGTTCAGAATGGCCGGAAAGTGGCGCTTTACAATTTGTGCAATTTCCGCCTCTGAACAACATCAAACAGAAAAACTCCCGAAAATAAATACAAAAAAAGGAAAACTTTGCCCTCGTTTGATGTGTGAATTGCGCAAATATTTTTGTTAAAAAAATATCTTCAAACCCCCCTCCTGGCTCCCTGACCACCTATCCTGCTGCGCATTTATCATTTTATTCGTTTTATGTCCATGAGTTTTTTTTTTGTTTCCCCAGAAAACTTGTTAAATTGAAAACAAACAAAGAATATTTTTATATAATGCGATTAGCGGCTTCGGTTTCGGTCTCTGGATGGGTCTGGGTCTCGGTCGCCATAGCCATAGCCATCGCCATCGCAAATTTATTAGCCGCTTGTGCAGACCGATTGAAGTTTAATTGGAAGCGAAACAATATTTGGTAAAACAATATTAATTGACAGTTGATGTTGCGTGTCAGGCAAATATTTCAATTTCAGCCTCAATTCCACTTTATTGTCGTTTAATAGATGCCGTCCAGCTTTCATGCTCTGCCAACAGCGAAATCTAATTAGCATTTCAGCCGGTTCCGCCTGAAAAACAATAATTGCTTAAATAAACACCAATACAGACTTGCATTAATAAACAGCGGCTGGAATATGAGTATTATATGAATTATGGCAAGCCAAGCTCAAGTCTCTGCGACATGCAATGAAGCGCACGAGCCGCCTCGGCGTGGGGGCTGCTTCCCACCGAGGGCTGTCTTTGTGGGGGCAGAAGGTGGCACCGCCATTTGCATGTCGAGCCGGTCATTCACTTTGCCATCAACTGGTAGGTTCACACAGTGCCAGTCATAAATTTAAGGGCCTGAGCAAAAGGGGTAATATTTTGGGCTGAACAAAGTGGTTTGATTCTTAAAAGTTAAAAATTTAAATGGTTTTTTCCTTGGGGCGCTTTTTTTGACAGGCATTTAATTTTAGTTATATTCCTCCATTATTATGCCTATTATTATCCCCAACAATGTAGCAAGAGATATGCATAAATAGACTATGCGTGACGTTTCTCCATGTCCTTCTACTGGACTTTAACATGGCAATTATGCATTTTTAATCAAACCACAATAATGCTTCCCGGAACAGTTTTTACTATTGATTTTCTAGCCTCTTAACCGATTGACATACATCGAACAGAAGAACAAATTGAACCTTAATGAACCCTGAATAGTAAACCATATCCAAGTGTCTATAATATAGACTCCTATATATGTATATATGAGAGTGTAAGAAGCAATAAGCCAAATCAAACATTATGAAAGGAAAATCAAATTGTAAAGAATCATTCCGATTCAGTTTCGGTTTCTGGCTACATTTGCATACAAATGCAAGCTGGATTAAAATCAGAATTCGATATGCCACAAGCCGCAGATACACAGACACACACGCTCACTGGGAATTTCCCCAACAATATTTTACTGCTCAAGACATTTCGACATTGTTGTCGAGAAGGGCTAAAAGGAGAGGGCAAGAAGGCCATGCCAGGCCAGGACAGACTTACCCAACTTCTTCAATTACAATTTGATTTGCAAATGACACAGAGCAGGGAAACATGGCAAGAAATTGAAGTGGGAAACTTTTCGAGCCAAGAGTTGGATTGCCGAAGGGTGTGGAGTGCAGAGTGACAAGTCGGGTTAAAAAAGTTAAAAGGTATTAAATGTTTCTTAAAGATTTCAACTGATTAAAAATGATAAAGGTCCTCGAGCCCATCAACTCCATGAACAGTGAACAGATATCAACGCTAGAACGACTCTTCGGGCAATTGAGTCCTTTAAGAGCCCGAATTTTTTTCATAGCTCCCGGCAATAAAATGTTGCAACATTAAAAGGGCGGTGCACATAAATAAAAAAATCGCTGAGTAAAAAATTGGGTTAAAAATTAACTACACCAAATTTAAATCAACTGTGGAAGGGAGGGAGGCATCAGGCAAGAGCATGAGTTGGTTGCCTGTCAGCGAATCCTTCGAATACTTCGCCTGTGGCCGCCGGGAGCCGTAAAAAATCGACTCGCTGGGCAGGCTGAATACGGCCGGAGGGCCTGCCTGCCTGCCTGGCAGCCGTAAATAAAGCGCCGCAAACATTAATAACTCCCATTGGGTGTGTTAACAAGCAATGACCAAAGAGGGCCGGAACCCGGCAGGCAGGGATTTCGGATTCGTTTTTGTTGTCCCTGCCAGCCCTCTCCACTCCAGCTACTGCTCCTCCACCGATCCACAACCCTTCGTCAGCGTGCATAAATTGCAGTAAAAATGGCGCAAAAATTTTACATTTTGTGGCTGTTGTGAAAAACGATGTGCAACAAAAAGAGTACAGCATAAAGTGACGGGCGAAAATAAGTAACAAGTAACTGAGAAGCTCGCAGGCAAGTAAAAATTGCGCATACGCCAGGTGCGCCAGCCTGTGTAAAATGCTTGAGTGATGGGGCCCATTCCCACAGCCTGAATCAGAGCCAAAACCGAGAGACGAGGACCAAGAGAGCAGGAAGAAGGGCAATGCATGTAAGACAATCATTTTGACAGGCACTCCGCCATATTCATCCCCGGGACCACGGTCTGCGGACTCCGGTCTGCCTGCCTTCGTTCCGTGTTACTCATTGAGCCGTCGCTCGCCTGGCTGCCTTCTGATTACTATGCACTTTGATACTTATCTTTAATTGAGGTAACATTCTGCACGGCACGGCAGCCGAGAGCCGCACACAAAAGTCTCGTCTGCCACGCCACGTCGAGCACACTTTTCATATCCTTCGCACTCGTATCCTTCGGCTGTCAGGATCTGCCTTTGGCCAGGTCTTGAGCGGGGTTGCTCCCAAAGAGGTCGGCCAGAGATCTGGTTGCGGTAAACCGAACTTCTCGAAGATAAGTAGGCAATTTCATATTGTATTACACTTTGCATACGACTAAGGGAGTTAAAACTTTTGTGTTCATATATCCAGGATATTCACATAGAGCCCTATCAGTGTCAATGTATCTGCTCATTTTTATCCAATCCTTGCCAAATAACCCTTAAATGATTAAAGCTTTTAAGTGGTACTATTTATCATAAAGATTTTATTAAGCCAAACTATGGAAATGCAAAAGGAAACACAGAATAATTAAAATAATTATTAATTAATAATTCGTTTAACCAATGCCCCAATAAATAGACCGCATTCAGAGACAAACAGCTCACGAATCGGACAAATCAATTAATTTAAACTCCCTTCATGCGACCCGGGTGTATTTATGCGTCGACCCCTTTCAATATTTAACCACTGGCCGCAGGAGTAGCTCAACTTTGTTTCAATTAATCGTTAACCCTTTCAGCTGGCGGTATTCATGGGAGTTCGACGTTTGCTGCTGCGGTTGCCCAGCGCTTGCTTTATAAATATTTAAGACCATTAAACAGACAACACGGTGGAGCGAAGGGAGCCACACATGCACGCACACACATTACAAACAGCACACACAATGCAAAGTACACACATGCATACTTAATCCTGGCCACATACACACACAGATGGCCAGGACTAAGCGTTTTATGGCCCTTTGCCATTGTTGCCGCAGAGCTGAGCCGTAGTTTTGTGGCAAGGAGTTCCAACTCCGGACTGTGGACTGTGGACTGTGGACGGCGGACTTGGGACTCCGGAGTCCGGACTGGCTGTAATCGTAATCGTCATCGTAATCGTTATCGTGTGTACCTGGCTCCAATTGTTTCACGGCTGTGTCTGCCATGTCTGCGGCGGATGCCAAGGCTAATTTTGCGTAAAATGAGAGCTCGAATGATTCATTATGGGGCCCCAGAGGTCCAGGTCGCAGAGTGCCAATGCCTGTGCATGTGCATATATGCAAATGAACGCCAACACACAAGGACTCTGGGGCCAGTGCACCCGCACACCCCAGCGAATCAATCATAGATTGTCAACGACAACGATTCACCCTAGTCGGTGGCGTATACGTGATATGCTTACTACCCGTAAACCAGTGGCGTATACGTGATATTTCCACACCAGCTACCCAACCACACCGGCCAAGCCCCGCGGTGCCATAATTGATTTATTGCCCCGAAATTAATTCTGTCCCAGTGCATTAATATTTATTGCTCAAGTTATCCAATTGTTCTACGTACAATCGGCACCTTGACCTTTCGCCTGTCAGCGGAATCTGTCATGAATCCGCTTTCTGAATAATTTCCATTCACCCATTTCGGATTTGCCCGCAGCCCTTTTTGTCCAGCCTCGAATGGCTGCTATGAATAAATGAGCTGGCTTGCCTGAGTTGCCTGAGCTGGCTGAGTTGCCCGAGCGGGCCGAGTACAAAAGCCTGGCTAACGAGTCCGTGCAAACAATCTGCCAGTGGTAGTCGTCGTCTCGTACCTGTATTTGCTGTTTTATAAAAGCAATACGCATATGCCAATGCCTGGTGCTCTGGTATTTGCATTCACTTTTCTACAGTGTTTGCCAGTGAGTGGAGTGAAGCCCCCAGCTCCCTTTGAAACCCACCGAACGTTCTCTAAAAGGCGCTTGTAGAGCTTCTGGCAGCTCTTTAAGTTCTGCGGTCCGTTCCAGCGTCCTTGTTTCTGGCTGCTGCCTTTGGGGTATCTGGATGGATCCTGTCGATGGCAAACAACCGTAACCGAAATTCATGGAGCTGGTGGCTGGTACTGGTACTGGTACGAGTTCTGGAGATGTTGCTCCGGCGGCTCCTCGAAATGAGCATTGACTGATGCCATTACAGGTGGCCATTGAATGCATTTTCCAACCAAGGGCATTTTCTCCACAGGCAGCCTTGAATTTCCTTTCCCCGGCTTCGGTTTTTGTGGCTGAATTCCATTTTGGCTGGCTTGCAAGGCTTGCTTCTGGCATTCGAGCTGTTGCTGCAAATACTTGACTCAATTACCAGAGAAATGTTTTCCACGGGGGGGCGAGAATTTGTACATATCTTTGGTTCTTGTAAATATTTTTAACCAATTTGGCCATCGCCTTAATAATGCTTCAATTCCTTGGCATTTCTCTCCTATATTTTCGATTGTGAAATGTATATCCATGTCCTTTCGCCCACCAGCCAGCACCCACCCACCCACTCATCCCTTTCACAATTCGCAAATGGGAAAGTTTATGAGCTGCGCCATTTGGGAGTCAGTTTAGATTGTTGTTTGTTTGTTCAGTTTGCTGTTATTTTCCCTTTTTGTTTCCCAGCTAGATTCCTTTTAGGCGGAAATGAAATTTTTGCAGTTTTACAATTTTGCTCATGCCGTTGTTGTTTTTACTGTTTGGGACGCAAAAGGGTTCCATGTTTTAGTGGCCAAGGGTTTGAGTGGGTGGGGTGGGGGCTATAAAAGCTTTTTGCTTTTGCCATTTTACAAATGCTGACGACGAAGTCATAGAAAGTCGTCGTCGCGTCGAGTAATTAGAAAATTAACCCCAGCCAGCAGGCCATAAATGAAAATGAAACAACAACTAGCTAAGCAAATAACAAAAAAACGCAAAAAAAAAAAATAAAAAGCTAGCACTGCCACTCCACATGGTCCCCACTCGGCAAGTCAGCCAGGCGAGGGCCACTTAAGTGACTCTCTTTTTTTCCGTGCAAGGGAACAGACCTTTCTACAACAAAAACTAAAGCATTCTAAAGGGGGTTGTGTCATCGCTCTAATTAAAGTGCGCTAAAACGTGTTAAGGTGCAGTTTGGCGGAATTTATGAGTTTCCTTTTCTTCTACCATATTTAGGCTAAAACATCCCCCAGCCCCATCCCATTATTGTTACCCACTTCATTTTGGAGACACCTAATTTTTCTCATTATTTATTTTCATCTTTTTCATTTGCAGGGCTGGCCATGGGCTACCAAAGGCAATCCGTAAACAATAACCACAACAATGCCGAGTCGAAGCCCACGCACTCCCCGCCCTCACACTATCCCCACGGCCACAAATGGAACGAGCCCTACTTTGATCTCACGATGCCCAGGAACATTACATCGCTGGTGGGCAAGTCGGCGTATCTCGGCTGTCGAGTCAAGCATCTGGGCAATAAGACGGTAAGTCCAAGGATAATGTTCCCAACACTACACTGGAAGGAAAAGAAAAGAGAGACTGTGCCCAACAGAAAAAAAAAGACAACAGCCGGAAACATTTTGTATTAATAATCCTGATTTTTATTTACATTTAATAAACAAAGATAGTAGAGAGCTGCCAGCTCCCCCGAAATGGAGGGCGACAGCAAGTGTGGCGAATGTGTCACCAAATATCCACTTAGATGGCCAACACGGACCGAGTCGGGTTATTAAATTTGCTGCCAGTTTATTATGTAATACGTGACAGCAGACGCCACACATGCCGGCCACTTGGCTAGGCTTGTTTTACTTTTTTATTTGTCTTGTTTCTGAAATGCCGTCACTTGATCTGCTCGACCCAATTAAAGCCGCCCTTCTGGCAGTTTTTGGCCGCTCCTCAAAGTGTTGCATTTCAGCAATCAAAATTAAATTGGTTGCCATAACAAAAAAAGGCAGATAGTATGAGGGGTAGTAGGTTGTCTGGTCTCAATTTGCCGCAGATACAATGCGGAAATATTTTGCACGCATTTGCCAAAAATTTCCAGGCAGCGGTACGGGAAAGTTTGCAGGTGTTGGCAGCCAGGCCCGATTCGTTGATTACGTTAAGCGATTTGGCCACACACGGCCGAGGATGGGGTCATACTCGTAGATTTCCTCATGGCCAAATCCGCTTCCGCAATCAGTAAACTACACACACGTCCCCTAGTTAACAGAGCTGGCCAGAACGGTCGGTTTTTGGCCAACAGTAAATTTATGGCCCGGCTAAAGTTTGGCTTTTTCTTTTTTTGGCTTTCCCCGTTGGTTTTAGATGGTTTTATATTTTTTGTTGGCCCCATTCCTTCTTGTTTTTGTATTTTTCTGCTGTTATTGCAGAATTAGGCAGGCAAAGGGGCAGGAAAGTGTAACTGCACAGATGGATGCCACACAGTTGGCTGACTCTACTCCGACTGCCTGTCTGTCGGCCTGTCCCCCCGTCCATTTGTCTGCCTGGGCTTGTCTTTTTTTTCTAGAGGTTATTGGTTAGACAGTTAGCCGCATAAACAAGGAGCCTACCCGCCTGACTCCCTCCCGAAAACCTGAGCAGAAAAGCAAGCAACAAAAATTTGTATCAAATGTTGGGGGCAATGTCGAGTGAATGTCGCTCTGAAGAGCCAGGAAGTGGACTGGGTGCGCCAAGGGGTATCATTTTCCGGGTCTGTCATGCGTTTCGCACACTAATTCCGAGTTGTATGAAAATTTGGTCTGTGAGTTGCATAAATTTTGCGGTTCTTTAAAGTGGCCTTGTTTATCTTGTAGGTTGCCTGGATACGACACCGCGACTTGCACATCCTCACAGTGGGCACCTATACCTATACGACGGACCAGCGCTTCCAGACCTCCTATCATCGGGACATCGATGAGTGGACCCTGCAGATCAAATGGGCCCAGCAGAGGGACGCCGGGGTTTACGAATGCCAGATATCCACTCAACCAGTGCGTAGTTACTCGGTCAACCTGAATATTGTGGGTAAGTACACTTGAGAAAAATTATAGTCAGGGTGTGGTACATATCAGGTCTTGGTAAATCAACTACAATTCTACTTTCTTTTAGTCTTTATTATTGTGTATTTTTTTGAGTTTATGTTAAAGTTTGTGTGGCTATGAAAATGTTTATAAAAGTATACACAAGGTCTCCACTTGTAATTCAAACGCGAAAAAAATTCCGAGGCAGACGAGTAACGTTTTGTTTGGGGAATTCCAAGAGTTTTTGTATCGTTTTTGCATATTCATGCAATTTGCAAGAGTGTAAATTATGCACACTTGGCAATCGTCACAACAGGATATAAAAACAGGACGCGACCTCGCCGGTAAATATGACAGAGGAATTTTTTCCCAACCAAAAAAAAAAACATGAAATTCCTTTGGACAGATTGATGGAGTGAAGGGACCTGCAAGGAAGCCGAGCGGGCTTAACGGATATTGGCAACCCACCAGGCAAAAAAACCCCAAATATATGTTTTCAGGCATTAAGGTGTAGATAACGCAGGAAATATACTGGTCCCCTTAAATCCTGGGGCCACAAAGCGTATTTATATACTCTGCTTGAATTATTTTTATAGGTTTTTTCCAAAACAAGCCACGCACCAAAATGGAAAAAGCCAGAATAACAAATCGGGAATCGTGTCTGGAAACCTAAATTAATGGCACAAAACTTTAAATTTGTTTTCTTAAAATAATAGCCAACAAATTGGGAATGAATTATAGAGCAGTTGGTAGTGGTGGAGGAGGCTTAAACCAATAATTATAATGGCTTGTTTAATTCTATTTTTGGATATACCATTTTAGCTAATTGATTTTAGTTGGGCTTTTATTATAATTATATTCGTTTTACCTAATTTCGTTTCACTATTTGTTTGTTTTCTATTTCTGTTTCTTTTGTTTATGTTTTTGATATCCATCGATGTGCGAAGACCTGATTGACGCCGAAACCAGCAATGTGATGCAGCAGTACTATAACGACGATGCCTTCTATATAGCCGCCGATCGGGTTTACCAGTCCAGCGATGATGAGTTCGCGGGAATGTTCGGGCCCATTCAGACAGTTGCCGGTTAGTTAACTGTCGTCGGTTGGTTTAAAACGATTTTCCCTCCCTGCACATCCTGTGGAGTATCTGTGAAGGATTTTTTTTTTTGGCCAAGTGACAAGTAACCCTAACCGCAGGGAGGTTCACAAAAAAATGCAAAGGGGAAGTGAGAGATGTGCTCGAGGGCTGCCATGCATGAATATTATTTTTTAATATTTTACAACATTCTTCCTGGGCGCTTCTCCTGGGCAGATGGAGGCGGAACGGGAAGGATGCCAGGGGCGAGCACTTTTCTGGCTCATGACGAACAAATTGCTTTCCAACAAGCTTTTACCCACTAACTTTGCCAGCTTGTTACGGTTACGGTTACTCCTCCTATTATTTTCTACCTTTTTTGCAATTTCTCAGTGGAAATGACCCTGGGTAACTTGGAAAATTTCTAATTGTGGGAAATATTGAAATTAAAATAATGAAAAAGGAAAATTTAAAAAGTAAAACACTACAGTTACTATCCTTTATTTTCTAAATATTTATCATAACCTACAGTTTTTAACAAAATCACAAATCAAATTTCTTGCAAAAGAACTAAAACGCACCACTGTTCTTCCTTGCAAATTGGCAAAGTGTTTCCCACATTTAATTATACCCATAGCCTTTGCAATATTTATTTTTTCCGGAGATGCTGCCACTTAGTCATTCAGGGGCAGGGTCTGGCAGAGGTTTGGGTAAGCCCCACTGGGTCCGTGGGGACAGGAGCTGGCATTGAACTTCCCGGCATCGTACAGACTACTTCCTTCCGGGGCTCCGGCACTGTAGTAGCAGACGAGCGCAAAGTGGATGTTCCGCAAGTCGTAGTCCTTGCCAGCGGCACAGCCCATGTAGGCGGCCTTGTCGTTGATAATGTTCCTGATGGCATAGCCTGCTGATTCGCAGCTAATATCCCTCAAGTCGTATATCTCATCCATCCACTCCTCGGTGAGAATGGTCATCTGGCGGACATTCGACTCAGGAAGTTGGGGTCTGGGGTAGATGTCAGCGGCATAGTTTGATTTCGGATCCGGGAAGTCATCAGTGGCCACACACGGCTGTCCGGGGAGGTCCTCCAGGCAGGTTTTCAGGTGATACTCGGCCAGGACAGCCAAATAGGGTTCCCACATCAGCTCTGGCATTCTTTGGGCCGGCGGCAAATACTCGAGCGACCCACTGGCCACATCCTCGCGGTATTTGTTGTGCATGGTCAGTAAGTATCGGCGGAACTTTCCAATATTAACCAGACTGTTAAAGCGCAAGCATCTTTTATCGAACATCTATGGAAGTACCTTTGTAAGAGCTATATTAAACGGGTAGCACTTTTTCTTACCATAGTGTTATTGCATCCAAGGTGCTCAGTGCCCTGGCACGAGGCTATTTTGCAAAAGTCGATGGCCTGACTAAATTCTAAGAGAAAAATTATGAAACTAATTCTAAGCCCCTTCATTTCTTGTTATTTTATAAAAGCTCTTAGGAAAATTTTACGGTAGTATTCCTATTTATATATTCCTATTTTTGATCCTACATATATTGTAATAAAAAGGCCTGAGAAGAGTGACTTTTAAATCTAAACAGAGTTGTTGAAGAATCATAAGCATAGACTGTAGTTCCTTAAAAATTTCTTTAATGAATCCACATTTTCTGGCTTCAAAATCCTCTCAAAAACATAACAAAATTGAGCCGTTACCCATTTTAGAATCACTTTCAACTTTGTGCAGCCTTGTCCTTTGACTTTCGGAAACTTTTCACTCTCTCCGGCAGTCTGACGGCTGGTAATCGATTATTTAACGTGCTGACTTTGACTGGCAGAGAATTTCCCACTACGGGCCACCATGGAAATTTCCGACAATGCCGAGGCTGGACCGGACTGGCCAGTGTGTGGGCGGATAAGGGGTGGATGGGAACTTGTCACTGGGCTTTTGGGCGCAGCCGATGTGCTGGAAATTGGAAAAACAAACCATTTTGGAATTTCACAACTCGGCAGAGACGAGTTGTTGATTAGGCGACGTAACCGATTGATTAGCACAGCTCGAACATTTTTGCCGAGTGGAAAGAGGATCTATGAAGAGGGCCCTGGACATGTATTGCATAATGAATCACCTTCCATTTTCTCTTCGCAGTGCCAACAGCCACCATTCTGGGCGGACCGGATCTGTATGTGGACAAGGGCAGCACCATAAATCTCACTTGCATCATCAAGTTCAGTCCGGAGCCACCGACCCATATCTTCTGGTATCATCAGGATAAGGTAAAAATCGCGAGCTCTCTTAAAATCAATTTACAGACTAGCGAGCAAAAATAAAAAATAAAAGATCTTAAAGGGAGAGGGGGAAAAACCAATTTAAGGTTTTCCTTTTTGGTGCCAAATTATCTTGCAATAATTGAGTTTGTGCGCAGTAAAAAGTCGCACAACAAAAAAAAGTGGAGGGGCGGGGCCACGCCCCTCCCAGCCAATTGCTGCAGGATAAACGTTTTTAACTTTTATGAGCTCTGGGCTGGCGCCTCTCCAAAGTGTGTGTGTTCGAGCTCAAGTGTTCGTGTGAGTTTGCTCGCGTTTGTTTACGCGTCGTATACGCAACGTATTTAATTTTGGCTTTTATGATTATGAGAAAACATGCTTTTGCATTTAGCTTAGCCTCCCTGTCCTGTTGAGGGAGAAAGCGCTTTTAATGCCATACCACCTCCTATCATGCCACGTTTTCTTTTCACCCCACCAGGTACTCAGCGAAGAGACCTCCGGCGGCCGTCTGAAATTCAAGACCATCAAGTCGGAGGAGACCAAATCCATTTTGCTCATTTACGACGCCGACCTTCTGCATTCCGGCAAATACTCTTGCTACCCATCGAATACCGAAATAGCCAGCATCCGCGTCCACGTCCTACAGGGTAAGTACTATACTGTCTTTCCACTTTCAGTTTCAGTATCAGGGATCTTTTTGAGTTTCGGACTTTAGAGGGAATGCTTTAAAAAGAAGGCCGCCTTAATTGGATGTTCAAGTTTGATTATGTGAATTATACATTCATGCATTTGCTTGACCTCGATTTGTATGCATTAAACTTGCATCCCGTTCGCTCTCTGTTGGGCAAACTTTTGCGCAATTTATGAACCTGCGGCACACACAGAAGTACACTTAACGAAAAGGGGCAGTTTCATAAGGAAACCTATGGATAGTGATAGCTTTTTACTCCCTTAAAGTTTTTACAGTATTTTTAACATACGTTTCGTTTCATAATTTCAGTTTTTGTTGCTACCACTTTTATTTCTCCATGTAATAGCCTTTTTGTGGCTCAGACAAACTGCAAATTGTTAGTCATTCTTGTCAAATCTCGTGTCATTTGTGAACGTCCCTTTTACCCTTTACCCTCTACTATCTCACTGTTCACCCTCTATTTTCCATTTTCCGGCAGGAGAGCGACCCGAAGCCATGCAAACGAACGCGGCGCCGGCTGCCGTCGCCCTGGCCAGTTGGTCCTGTCACTTTGGAAAGGATACGCAGGCGGTCAGGGTAATTAGCACAATGGTGGCGGCACTTGTATTGTTGGAGGCCTGCTCCTCGATGCTACTGCAGGGTGCCGGAGGAGGAGGAGGAGGAGGCGGTGGTGGAGGTGAAGGTGTAGGGAACCAAAGAGCCAGCAAGGAGGGACACGGAAAGCTGGAAAAGCTGCAAAAGCCGCCACCAAGTAACCCAGCACTCGACCCAAAGGAAGCCTGCGGCCACGTCAATACTGGCAGCCGGAATGCACGGTGATAAATTAATGTCGCCCAGTTGGAATTCCACCGCCAATGCAGCCCCCTAAATGCAAGAGAAGAAATGATTTATGGCTAACAGCAAAGCACAGCACAGGACGAGAAGCAGTAGCAGGATCTAAGGCCAATGGGAAAAATCAAGAGGAGCAGAAGTCGGAGAAAGGAGAAACAGCGTCGCGTTGAGCTGCATGTAATACCTTAAAAAAACCAACTAATTATGCTAATGATGCTGCTGCTCCTTGTAACTTGTAACTTGTAGCTTATAAGTAAGTGTGTCTCTAATTAAGTGGGCTGGGGATTAGTTAGTTAGGCGGAAATCAGAGCCATGTACATAAACTTCTCACGTAAATTGCCAGCACCCTAGCGAACTTAGCTAAATGGAAAGAGTTTTGAACGAATCATCAAGTTAGAGAACTATAATCATGTGGTTTGCTTATAGAGCCATGCCTAGTTGGTTAAATATTGAAGCGTATATGCGAGGCAATGTGTCGGATAGTCCTTGAGTCCCTAAGACAATAGCTAGTGTCTCAAGGGCTATCCAGTGCAGTCCTCAATAGATTAGGATTTCAAAGTAGTGCAAGTTTACTCAGATTGTTGTAAATATTAACAGAATTATCTTGGGTGTGCGTGTTAACATTTTATTTCGGTTTTCCTGTATAAACTAGACCTTAAGCCTTGTACATATTTAGTATTTAAACGAAGAATAGCTATATTTCGATGTGAAGTTCTCCGAACGGTTCCTAAACTGAACAAAACTTGCATGTCTATTTCTGTGTCAGTAATCTAATGGCAACATGGAGAATTCATGAGAAATTCCTGCCAAAAACTCGCATCGGTTTGAAGTGCGACTTCCCGGTCTAACAATTTATTTAAAAGAATTTCACCAAGTCATGTGGGCAGTTCCTGTTCCCATTGCTGAATGGGTTCAATGCTCCATTCTGGGCGAACTCTCCGAGTCCACTGAAATTTAGAGCTCCCATTTCAGCATGTCCGGTTGCATTTTTACCCCTTTTCTCAGACTAAGGACAGAGCTGGCAAGTCACTTTTCACTCTTGTCAACAAAATATTTGCATTTCCATTTGCCAAGCTAGCTGGCTGGCTATTTGTTGGGTTGGGCTTGTCTTGAAGGACTCCCCGGGCAAGGCGAGGCAAGTCCTTCTTCGTGCTGTCCCACATTTAAAAATGTATGGCCACTGTCCGGAGTCCTTAGTCCATTGAGAACCTATGGCCCGTGAGCGGGCTGAATTTAACTGATCAAAATTGTAAATAAACCTACATATACCATATGAATAAACTATAAACTGTACTCAAGTATTTATGTGGTAGTCATACATAACGTACATACATACAGGACACTCTCACACATAAGTATGCACACTGAGCGGAAAAAGGGTTACATATACATAAATATTAAAAATGTAAGCCGAACGCATGCAAAATTAGTCGCGACATGTAAATGAATGTTTAATGGGTAAATTAAAATGTTGCTATGGATGGGATGGAAATATGGCAAAGCAAAAACAAAGCAAAAATATCCATGAAAATAATTGCAATTAAGCAAATAAAATAATATTATATATAAGCATAAAAGAGGAAAAATAGCGAGTAATATCCATAATAACAAAGCCCCATTGCCGAAAGCGGAAACAAAAACAAAACGTTGTTGACTTTTGTTGCAAACAAAATGGCAACGTATTATAAAGATTATAAAATTGTTTTTAATTTTTAAGCGCGTAGCCACGTAAATATGGAAATCGGTATGAAAAATTTCAATAAAGTTTTTTTAGTTATTACCATCAAATGATAAATATGTATAACAAAAAGCGCCGTACTTTTCTTTGATTTTGGCATGGGAGTGGGTTCGTTGGGTTGGTTTTTGGCTGTGATTTTGGTTTTTGGGTTTTTTTTTTGGGGCTTTCCGGGTGTGATGAAAAACTGTGGGCCACATGCTGAGCGAATCCCGGCAAGATTTATGCAAATATTTTCCATTGCCATTCATGCATTTAGCCTGGGAATTTTAATGGGCCGCACGCACACACACTGACAATGGAATTTTTGGCCGGAGTTTTTGGCCCCCGGGAGATTGCAAGTTTCTTCACTTTTTTGTGTGGTGGGCTGAGTAGGGGGGTTAGCGCTTTCCATTTTTCAGCCTAATAAAGCCGCAATGCAAAGACAGGAAAGGCAGAAGGAAGAAGAATGGGCATTAAGTGCCTGCCAGCTGTCCCTACGATCCTACCGACTAGAGGAGCAGGCCATGTGTGGCTCGCAGGACTCTGTTTGCGCTTTGGTAAGACATCAAAAGCCGTTAACATAAAAGTTTATTATATGACAAGTAAGTGTATGTATGTGTATTTCTATCTATCTCTGTGTGTGTGTGTGTTGGCACGGCCAAATAACGGTAATATCATGCCAAAAAGTTTAATAGCGCACAACGCGTCAACCCAGACCCACAGCTTTCCCCACTCTTTCCGCTTTTCCCGCCTTGGCCCGTCAAGCCGAATTGAGTGGAAATCGTAAGGAGCGTCTAAGGCGCATAAGGCACATGAAGCGGAAAGTTTCCCTGCTCCGCCGGAAAGAAAGTATTACCCGAAATGATGACGACGATGATTGGAATACTCTGGTTTTGGCTATGCGAAATAGATGGACTGTCTCAGCCAGACTGTCGAAGGAGTTTCTACATTTTTGTTATTCTTTTTAAATATGTAAGAAATAAATTGGTTACAATAAATAAAAATAAAGCCATTTTTAAGAAGTTGTTTTTGGACCCCTCATGTGCTGCCATCTAGCCATACACCACTTCTGTGGAAAAAGTGCCAAAAAATATCCGAGGCAATTGTCGGATATTACCTTTAATTGCACATAGCTCAGGTCACAGATGTGGGCCGTGGAGCAGATGAAAGGCGGAATGTCGGGGGAATGTGGCTCGCAGTTGGGTCCAGGCAACGGCAATCGACTCGGGAGAATATAAATTATCATCATTGTGACATTTTCATTTGTCAACGTAATTTTCTTTGTGTCGCATTCCTGTGCCGCCTAAAAGCACACGGCACACCCTGTACTACCCAGGTCTCCTGCCAGGATCACGGTTAACGTTACAACAAAAAATCCGGCAAAAAGTCTGGCAATTTGGCAAGGAATTTCACTTCACTTTGACTGGCAGAACGTTGGGCTGAAAAAAAAAATGTGGAACGAAAATCGAGCAAACACAGACACGTTTGCCTTTTATGTTCTGTCCTCGGGTGGCCAGGATGTGAAGGTCCTTATTATTGCCGCGTACATTTTTAATGTGAAAATATGATTTGATTTTATTTGGCTCCGGCATACATTTGTTTGTCTGCAGCACAAGTTGCAATTTAAATTCGCATATTGAACATAAATCAGATGTCTAAGGCTTCAAATGCTAAACAAGTCTGTTTGTGTGTTCTGTGCCTTTGCGAAAATCCAGTACATAATTTATTGACATGGCCAGGACCAAAGCCATGTCGAGGATTGTCGAATATTGTCCTCCAGCTGCCAAGTGGAATATTGAGCATTATTTTGGAGATCCCCCCCTGCCCCCAATTTGTGGCGTTTTCAGCGTGTTTGTGGCATTGTCAAAGCGAATGCCAATGGCGTCGTTCTTTGATGGCCGATTTCAAATGCAGCTCAGCATTTAGCGTTAGCCCATTAAACTTGCCATCCTGATTGTCGATTTAAGATCAATTTTTTTTATTCCTGTTAAATGCACTCCTCCTGAGAGCTTCTCATTGTTCTTAGCCCGGTTAAGCCCTTCAAGAATCGCTTTAACTTGGCTACAAGTTTCCCTGTTGAACTTCCCTAAAGTTTTGTTTGCTCATTTAAAGCCAACTTTACAACTTTTCCTCAAGGAGTCTAATGAGTTGAAAACAACACTTTCTTCACCCTCATTAGTGCCAGCATCCACTGTTATTAATATGTATAATTATTTCAGCATTTTTTTTGTATAATTCTCTTATGAAAAACTGGGTAAAATAAACGGAGAAGAACAAAATTTGTTGGCTATATTGTTTACACATGTAATGAAATTTCTGCGGTTATTCGGGCGAGAAGTTTGGGGGGCCAACAAGGGGGCGTTCCCATGGCAATTATTTTGGCGCCAGTTTTCCAGTCAAATTTCTCATTTTTGGCCTTTAAAAATAGCAAATTAATTATATTTCACGCCGCGTTGTCGACAGCAACGCAAAAAAATAGAAAATTTGCTCTGGCTCATAATTAAATTTCGCGTTGTGTGTGCGAGGTGAGTGGAAAATGAGGTAGGGGCTAAATCGCTCATGGATGTAAGTATATGTTTGTATGGATAAAAGGATATATCCATGTGTGACTCTGTGGGTTTGGTTATGGGAAGTAATACGGCTTTGATTAGAAAATCGGTTTAAATGGGTTCGCTCGCTGACTGTTTGTTTTGCTCTTCGGTTTTGGTGTTTGTTTCTGTGTTGGTTTGGAATTTTGTTTTTAATTTTTCCGTGTATCCTTGTGGTTTTGGCATCCCCTTGTTTTAACGATGTGAATGTGTTTTAGTCGGCTTTAGCCGAGAATTGCTTTTTGAATATGTGCGACATTGTTGGTGGTCCTGTTGTCTTCATAAATGGATAACCAAAACCCGAGTTGGGTTCCTGGCCCACTGTGTGCTGTCATTTTGCGGTCAGTGCCGGCACCCACTTCAGAAATTCACAAATTCAGAAATTCCCTCTGTCCTGCACCCATTCTCCATCTAATGCAATTTGTCATTTTCAATTTTTGTTGCCATGGCTCCTCTGCCAGGACCTTTGTCTCAAATGGAATTTTCGGCATTTCGTTCACATAAATTAGGCCTGACACTCTCTCCTCTCGTTTATTTTTGACCAACAATAGCTGTTGCACCCGAATTGCTGTGTAAATAATTATTTTTTCCATTTTGTTTATATGTAAATTGCTTATTTAACGAGTGTTTCTTTCGTTTTCAAATTTAAATGTTATTAGGAGCTCTAACGAGATGGGAATCGGTGTGAACTAACGTTGTCATAAACGTTAATGCATAAGGCTATCTGATCTGGGTACTAGTGAAAAATAATGGAATTTGTCGGCAAGAGTCCTTCGTTGCCAATTTCAGTTGGCATCAAATGCAATTACTTTGCTTTTCTACAATCGTGAGCAGATGTGTCAGGTCTCTGCTAGATTGAAACATTTTTAAAGTCACTGACAAAATTTTAATATTTATTGTAAACTTTGGGTTTTAGTTTCGCAACAGATTACAAATAAAAAACTTATGCTTTTGAAACGGCAATCTCAAAAATTCAGTTGTCCTGCCCGAAGCATCCTGTCACTTTTTCCGAAACGTATTTCGAATTATGAGCTGTCTGCGTGGCTGAAAAATCTCCCCCCTCGAAAGCTCCGCCCCTGGCGAACGTTTAATGCCATTTAAGCCGGACCTTTTTCAAGCGGACAGTGTCCAATTGCTGGGCACTTAACTGAAATACAATTTTTATGGCCGCCCAGCGAAGTGGGCGATGTCCTTCCATCCTTTTTCACATTTTTTTCTTCTTCATTCTTTATTTTATTGCATACTTTGGCGCGCTGGCTCGTCGCTCGAGTTGCGACTTTTCGCACATCCTTGTGACTGCATAATTTTGCTGAACGCCGGCACGCTGGCATATTCTCATCTTTCGTTTGTATTTTGCATGATTTACTCTGATTTCAGTCAGCTCGTCCTGTCTATCTCGTCCCTATACGTCGGAGTCTGTGTGAGTGGTTGTGTGCGCGACTGCTTTGTAGTTTTATCACACACTTGACCCATAAATCAAACATGTGTAAATGTTTTCACTTTATATGCACACTTATACATGCACATCAAATACTTTGGCCGCCTCTCTATCTATTTTGCCTCCATGGAGTGGAACAAGGTCCTTGGTCCTTGGTCCTCGCTCGTCCTCCGGTTCGTGCGTGTAAACGAAGTAGAAAAGCGTGTAAAATATGCCTCAAATAGCTGGCTTCTTGTTATACTCAATCCAACGTATCCTTCTTAGCCTTTCTGTCTGCTTTATACTTATATACATATATATACATTTGTATATATATCCTTGCTACCTCCTGAGCTCGGTGTCAATCCCTTTTGATGGGCCACTGACATTTTTGGCGGCTTGTCATTCCGTTTTTGTGCGAATTTTTATTGGCTTAGTGGGCATAAATTTCGCATACCCATCGGGTTTATATACATATTTTTGTGGCAGACCCCAAACAGAGTTTTCCGCTGCATGCCCAAACACCCCGCTAATTGTGTCAGAGGCACAGAAATTTATATACATTTTTGTCAAATTTAATTTCTGCTGGTAGCCCCTGGAGGCGCAAAAAAACGCAATTTGTTGGCATTTAATTTTGAACTCTTTGCAATGTCTGCTAATGATGATGTTGATGGTGTGATTTCACAAATTGAATTTATCACTCAACTGAATCAAATTAGCGTGGTTAGGCGATGGGTGTTGCATGGTGTGTGTGTGTGTGCCACACGGTCAACAAATTGCTTGCCACACATTTTCACTTATGCATAACATAAATTTTGACTGAGAAATGGCCGCAATTTGTTGGCTAAAACGGCTAGTACACAGCTGTAGCAGCAACTTTGTGACCCTGAATGAACACGCCTTAAATTCGAGTGCAACTTTCATGCTTTCCAGTGTCCAAGGATGCGTGCTGGGGCTCCTGCCACAGTGTCGGCACTTGCAGATGCCTCAACATCACGTTTGCGTCATACTCATTATAACGCCACTCAGGCAAAGGCCCTAAAAGTTATATGAGACACTTTCTGTT